ACCCGCAAGAACTCCTCCAGCTTCTCGGCGATGTGCTGAAGAGCTGCCGCCTCGAAGCGGCCGTCCGACGAGGCTATGAACAGGAAATCTCTGCCGATCTCGGGCACCGCCTGCAGCGCTGTTTCGGCGGATGAATCGCTGCCGAAGGCGTCGACGCTGGGCGTGTCGGGCCTGCGCACCACGTTGGAGGAGGTGGCAGGCTGCGCAGCGCTGCTCGGCGGGCTGCGCGTCGCATTCTCGAGGTCTCGAGGCACGCGCGCCCTGGCCACAACGAGGTCAGGAACATCTCTGACTATGTCGAAGAACGCACCAATCTCGCCGCTTTTGAACTTCATCGGGTGGGAGAAGACCAGCTGCAGTGATCCAGGCTGCTTCGCACCGAAGTCAATCGATATTTGGCAGGCTGCGTAGCATTCGTCGATACTCTGTATAAGGGCGGTGAGGAGCCCCGCGTTGAAGTCGCCGCCCCAGATGAAGCGATCCCCCGCACACGCACTGTGGCAAGCCAGGAGGGTGTGTTTGCGCCCCTCCATCGTGAACCCTCGCTTGTTCGAGGCGGGCGCATGGCAATTGACGATGGACACGGGCTCGTCGTCGTCATCAACGCGAACGCGGACGTGCTGGAAGCGCCGGTCTGGCTGGTTCTTCACGAAGTCGCTGACGAGCCTGGACTGAGGGACTGCCACTCGATTGGACTTCACGATCGTCGCGTAGTGTCCGCCAACGTGCACGCGGACAGGCGGCATCGCACTGTCAGCAAGCAGTTCTTGAATCCAGGCACGGACGTCGCTTCGTGGCATTTCGCCGAGCTCGCGCAGGCAGAGTATTTCCAGCGCAGGGACTTGGAACGCCTTGGTAATGTCCGATGTATAACGGCGCTCTCTGTTCTTCCTATTTCCCCCACCAGCCTTCGACAACTGGATTCCCGCGTTGTAGAAACCCACTGTCAACTCGGTCGCGATGTGCAGCGCAGAGAAAATGGGCTGCGCAGCACCGCTCGATGACGAGGCGGGCTGTGCAGTATCACCCGGTGCCGAGGCGGGCTGTGCAGAATCGCTGTCGGGGCCTCCACTTGGTGCCGAGGCGGGCTGTGCAGCGCCGCTGTCGGGGTCTTTCCCGTTTGGGGACACCGACGCCGTGCTGGCTGCCATTGGTAGCGCTCGAGCAACAAAGATTGCGGTGGGTTGCGCGGCGCCATTTGGTGCCGAGTCGGGCTTCGCAACGTCGCTGTCGCTGTCGGATGAGGACAGGGGCACCCTGTGGCCTGGCGCGGCGGCAGCCCGGAGCCACAAAGGTTGCGGAGCGGTGATGACGAGATGCGCATAGCCGGGAGTCCGGGCCCGGCCCTGGCCCCGGCTGAGGGAGCTCGCCCTTCAAATTGGTACTTTCGCCAGGGTTTCCTCGGAGGGCCTCCTGAGGTATTCCGAGAGAGGGCGCCGTGTGAGTCGGGGCCCGCGGCGCCCTGGAGGCTGGGGGGGCTATCAGAACAGGCGCGGGGGATGGAGAGAGGGCGGCCCCAATGAGACCCCCGCCCCCTTCAATGAGGGTCTTGAATGCAAGGGTGACACGCATATCTCGTTGTGCCGCAAGAGAGACAGACAACAGTAATCAGACGCTGGTTTCCCGGGCACGTCCATGACCAGAGGGGCCGACGAAGGTGGTGCATAAACCTTATAATGCATGTACGTGTGTGCATACTTACGTACGTATGTATGTATGCATGCATGTATGTACGCATGTATATATGTGAATATGTATAGGTGTATAGGTGTATAGGTATGTATGTATGTATGTATGAATGTGTGTATGTTATCAGCTCATTTGCCTCGGCGTCCGCGCGTCAGTCCATGCGCCCGCTAGACCGCAGCTACACAGACGACGGCTCGGGCTGCCGCACGGGGACTGCGCGGCACGGGTTTTGCAGCACCGTGGAAAGAGACAGGCCTCCATGAGACGCACAAAGAGACACGGACAGGCCCACGGCACCTGCACAGCACGGGTCGCGCAGCATCCAAGAGACACGGGCTGTGCAGCATCGTGGAAAGTGGCGGACTCATCGCCCGATTCTGCTGGCCGCGCTGCCCGCGGCGGCCCGCGTCTCCTTGTTCCACCTGAAAGCAGCGTCGCACGCGTCGCGAACGCTGGCGAGCTTGCCGCTGATGAAGTCGCGGCAGAGAGCTTTGTCCTGGTCCGACAACGCGCCCCACTGATTGGAGTCCCGGAGGATGGCTGCGTGAAACTTTTTGCCTCGCACGAATGCTTGCCGAGATGCGTGGGCAGCGTTTTTCAGAGCTCTTCTCTCCTTCGTCAGGGCTTCGGAGATTTGCATCCTCTTCTTGTACTCGTCGGAAGACCCCTCTTCCTCCCAAGCGCGCATGAAGCGCTGGATCGCCTGAGCAGGCTGTTCAGCACTGCATATCGGATGCTGAATGGATACCAGCACCACGTGCTCGTTGCCGATGATCTGGAAGGGAAGCGCCGAAAAAGGCACTACGGCGTAACTGATGAGCCCTTTGGCGGTTGCCTTTGCCCGTTCCACCAGACCACCAGTTGCAGTTGTGACGGGTGTGTTCATTCATCCAGCTCTCGTGGTCCTCCATCCACGCGTGGTGAATATGTTGCATGTGCTCGGGACTGAACACGGCGTCGGGGGTTAGTGACGGATGCCTTTGCAGATGGTTGGAGCGCTGCTCCTGGATGATTTCAAAACAACGTTCCAGCTTGTCGACGACGCATGGATCAGTCGCCATGTCGTAGCATCCCGTTGACGATGCCGCGATGTTGGCCAGTTGCCCGTGGAGGAACTGGCTGCCGATCTGTTCCAGCACCTCTTGCAGCGGCGCCATTCTGGGGTCGTCAGTGCCGAAGATCGCGTTGACTCGGTGGTAGCGCGGGTTGAGCCACTCTGCGCCATGCAGTGCCGAGGAGTGCTGGACGGGCGGCGGCCCCGCGCTGCCGGCGGGCTCATGCCGAGCAGGCTGCGCAGCGCTGTTCGCAGAGCTGGCTTCAGGCTCTGGCAGTGGCGCCGGGCGCGTGGGCATCGGCCACTCCGGAAGATCTGCGCCATGCAGTGCCGAGGATTGCTGGGGGGGCGGCGGCTGCGCGCTGGCGGCGGGTTCCTGCCGAGCAGGCTTTGCAGGGCTGCTGGCAGAGCTGGCTTCAGCCTCTGGCCGCGGTGCCGGGCACGCGGGCATCGGCCACTCCGGCCGATCTGCGCCATGGAGTGCCGAGGATTGCTGGGGGAGTGGCGGCGCTGCATTGCCAGCGGGCTCCTGCCGATATGGTTGCGCAGCGCTGCTCGAAGAGCTGGCTTCAGGTTCTGGCGCGGGCGCCCGGCTCGCGCGTCGAAGCGTTGTGGCGATTGCGACATCATGAGCGCCACTCGCTCCGTTGAATGAGGCCCCAATCCCGGAATTCACCCGAGCACTGCAGACGCCGAATGTCAAGGCGAAGTCGCCGTGCCTGGCTTGTAACGGATGGGAGAACACTGTTCGCAATGAACCAGGCTGTGAAGCACCGGAATTCATATTATAGCGATTATCAATCCACCCGAGAAGGGTGGTCAGCTGCATGAGCCCCGCGTTGAAGTCGCCCCCCCAGATGAACGGGTCACCAGCGCATGCCTGATGAAATGCATTGAAGTACAGCAGACGCCCCGTCAACGTCAGCGATCGTTTTCTCGAGGAAGGCGCGTGGCAATTGACGATGGATATGGGCTCGGCGCGCTCGGTCGTGCGAGCGCGGAAATGTTGGAAGCGCCGATCCGGCTGGCTGCGCATTCTGTTTTTGATGATCTGGTACTGAAGGACCTGCACCCGATCGGACAGGATGAGAGTCGCGCAACGTCCGTCGGCGTAGACAGCGACAGGCGATATCGCACTGTCGGCGAGCAGGTTGCGGATCCAGTCGCTGACGTCGCCTTCTGGGAGTTCCCCTCTAATGCCCACACCGAGCTCTCCAAGCTCGCAGATGCAAAGGATGTCCAACGCATGCTCGTTGGCGGCCCCGACGATGTCCGCGGCCAGTTTTTTTTTGTGGTTGTATTCCATTTCTTCGCGTCGACTTGCGACAATTGGATGCCCGCGCTGTAGGAAGCTACCGTCAACTCGGATGCGTCGTCGGGCAAAGCAGACAGGATGGACTGTGCAGAATCACCTGGTGTCAAGGTGGGCTGTGAAGCACCACCTGCCGTACTCTGCCAACCTCGGGACATGAGCGTGCGTTCTGTGTGGTTAGGGCCTCTGGGCTTGACAAACAATGTCTACGGAAGGAGAAAGTGATGATGATGAGGATGATGATGATGAGCATGATGATGTTGATGATGATACTGATGATGATGGTGAGCAGAGACAGAGGGCACACACCCATACAGGACATCAAAGAGCTCCTGATGGGAGGCCAACGAACTCATTATCGATTATTCATTACATGGGCAGTTCTTTCTAATGAGGTGCTTTGATGGTACAGCTCTGCTTCGCTATGAGGGCTCAAGCTGCCCCACTAAGAGCTCAAGATGGTCGACAGACGGACAACATGCATGGAACATACGTGCGCACACACACATATGAGTACATGTATATATAGAAGGAACAATAATGAATGCTATGTTGCGCTATGGTGTGCGATGTTATGATATGTTATGATGCGTTGTGCTAGGTTATGCTCTGCTATGCTATGTTGCGCTCTGCCATGGTATGCCATGCTATGCTGCGGTATGGTATGCTGTGCTATGATATGCTATGCTATGCTCTGGTATGCTATGCTACGCTGTGCTAAGGTAAGCTCTGCTATGTTATGCTATGCTATGTTATGCTGTCTTATGGTATGCTGCGCTATGCTATGCTGCGCTATGCTATGCTCTGTTATGCTAAGCAGTAGTGTATTCCCGCACGACGGATGCTGTGGTGTTGTGGGGTCGACGGGGGCGATTACGATGATGATTTTCGCCTCTAGGCCCGCTCCGCAATAGTTTCTGTGGCCGCGGCCACAACGCAGGCTGTTCAGCACTGCGCCTCGAGGGCCGTCGAGCACTTCAACTCAAGGCTGGGGCGCGCGTGCCGACAGGAGCCGAGCGGCACCGGTCGCGGCGGCTCGTGGCATGCTCTCCGGACGCCGAAGCATGCGCGGGGGTGCCGACGGCGCTCTGGACCGTCTCCTCGGCCGCGGTCTCGCTCAGGAGCTCCCCCCCCGGCAGGGCGGCGTCCACCCGCCCGGGCCCGAGGCCCAGCCTGCCCAGGCGGTGCTCGGTCAGCAGCCAATCGCGCACGCCGGTGAGCGGAGCGTCGGGCGCAACTGCGATCTGGCAGCGGCCCCCTCCGCCGAAGGTCACGAAATGCACCGAGCCGGCATCGACAGAAGCCTGGGGGAGCAGCGTAGGCAACATATGCGGAACCTATGTCAGACCTCCTATCAGCGGCGGCAAGTTGCACTGGCCTTCATCATCCCAGCCGCACGCCACAGCCGCCCCATCGCTCCTGAGCAGAACGGCGTGGTCCGATCCTGCCGCGACATGGACGCACCTCTGGCCTGCAGGCAGCGGCGGCACATCGCACTGGCCGTCATCATGGGTTCCGCACGACGCCGCCGTCCCGTCGTTCCGGAGCAGGACCGTGTGCTCCGATCCTGCCGCGACCTGGACGTACGTCTGGCCTGCATGCAGCGGTGGCAAGTCGCACTGGCCGTGGCAATTCTCGCCGCAAGCCACCGCCGTCCCGTCGGTCCTGAGCAGAACGTTGTGGGCCGATCCTGCAGCGACCTGGACATGCATCTGGCCTGCACGCAGCGGTGGCAAGTCGCACTGGCCGTGACTATTGTGGCCGCGCGCTACCGCCGTCCCGTCGCTCCTGAGCAGAAGGGTGCGTTCTGGTCCTGCCGCGACCTGGACGTATCTCTGGCCTGCAGGCAGCGGCGGCAAGTCGCACATGCCGAAACGATTTCCGCCGCAAGCCACCGCCGTCCCGTCGCTTCTGAGCAGAACGGCATGGTCGTGGCCTGCTGCGACCTGGACGTCCCTCTGGCCTGCAGGCAGCGGCGGAAAGTCGCACTGGCCGTCACCATTGAAGCCGCGCGCCAAAGCCGCTCCCTCGCTCTTGAGCAGGACGGTGTGGACCCCACCTGCCGCGACCTGGACGTACCTCTGGCCTGCAGGTAGCGGCGGCGCATCGCACTGGCCGCAATCATTGTTGCCGCAGGCCACCGCCGTCCCGTTGTTCCTGAGCAGAACGGTGTGGCCCAACCAGCTCCCTTGTCCTCCCGCAGCGACCATCCCGCGAGCGCGGCCAGCCGGCCGGTCCGCAGCTCGCGCGTGCCCAGGCGCCTGCGCTGGAGCCGTGGCGCCAGCGGTGGAGCTCGCCGCCGCCGTCGTCGTCGTCGTCGTCGTCGTCGCCGCCGCCGTCGCCGCCGCCGCCGTCGTCGTCGTCGTCGTTGTCGTCGTCGTCGGCGTCGTCGTCGTCTTGTAGCAGCTGCTGCTGTTAATGCTGATGCTGCTGCGGCGACGACGGCGACGAGCTGGCGGCGACTACGACGACGAGCTGGCGGCGACGTAGCTAAGCTAAAACTAAGCTATAGCTAAGCTAAAGGTAAGGTAAACTGAAATTAAAGGTAAGCTAAAGCTAAGCTAAAGCTAAGGTAAAGCTAAGCTAACGCTAAGCTAAAGCAAAGCTAAAGCTAAGCTAAAGGTAAGCTAAAGTTAAAGCTAAGTTAAAGCTAAGTCAAAGCTAAGTTAAGCTAAGCTTCTGCTAAGCGAAGCTAAGATGAAGCTAAGCTGAGCTAAGCTAAGGTAAGGTAAGCGAAGCTAAGATGAGATCAGCAACGCTCCAAGAAAGCAGTGTCAGTATTATATGCTTCTGGCTGGATCCACTGGGCGCGCTAGGCTTCCTGCCTTCGCCCGCCCACGCAGAGTCTGCCCGCCCCCCCTCCCGCGCCCCCTGCTCTCTCCTCTTGCCATCTCCTCTTCGCAATTCCCCAAACAGCTTGCTGAACGGGGTGCTGTCGTGGTAGAAACTAACTCCGGCCGAGGGAAGTCGGAGCAGAGACATCCTCACACAAATTTTATGGTTTTGGCCGTTTCGCTTGAGACATCCTCACAACTCTCGTTTCTGAGTTGGCCAGGATTGGCCGTTTCGCCTGAGACATCCTCGAAAAGTTGCGCTCCGGGACGCCGCGCGAGAGGTGGTCCGGGCCGTTTCGCCTGAGACATCCTCAAAAAGTTGCGCTCCGGGACGCCGCGCGAGAGGTGGTCCGGGCCGTTTCGCTTGAGACATCCTCGAAACTCTGAGCCCCGAGGTGCCGTGCGAGAGGTGGTCTGGGCCGTTTCGCCTGAGACATCCTCGAAAAGTTGCGCTCCGGGACGCCGCGCGAGAGGTGGTCCGGGCCGTTTCGCCTGAGACATCCTCAAAAAGTTGCGCTCCGGGACGCCGCGCGAGAGGTGGTCCGGGCCGTTTCGCTTGAGACATCCTCGAAACTCTGAGCCCCGAGGTGCCGTGCGAGAGGTGGTCTGGGCCGTTTCGCCTGAGACATCCTCGAAACTCTGAGCTCTGCGATGCCTTGCGCGAGGTGGTCCGGCCCATTTCGCCTGAGACATCCTCGAAACTCTTACTTCGGAGATGCCGCGCGAGAGGTGGTCCGGCCCGTTTCGCCTGAGACATCCTCGAACTTCTGAGCTCTGAGATGCCCTGCGCGAGGTGGTCCGGCCCGTCTCGCCTGAGACATCCTTGCAACTCTGGGGTCCGAGATGCCGCGCGCGAGGTGGTCCGGTCTGTTTCGCACAAGACATTCTCGCAACTCTGAGCTCTCAGATGCTGCGCGAGAGGCGGTCCAGCCTGGGCGCCCAGAAGACCACATGTTACATATCCTCCATGGGACCCTGCGAGCCTCAGGAGGCCCCAGAGAGGTCCAGGAGGCCGCAGGACGCCCAGGACAGGCCCCAGGGGCCCCCAGGAGATTCCCAGGAGGCTCCCAGGAGGCTCCAGGAGGCCCTCTATCAGAACGTGTCAAGTTAATACACATCCGGTGTCGATTCGTTGATTTTTCCTGCTCTTGTGCCCTCCCCTCCATTTTGAGGGGCCCAAGCGGCCACAGGTTAGATATCCCCCCTGGGAGCCCCAAGAGGCTTCAGGAAACCCCAGGTGGAGTTCAGGAGGCCACAGGAGGCCCAGGAGGAAGCTCCAGGAGGTCCCCAGGAGGCACCAGGAGGCACCAGGAGGCCGCAGGACGCCCAGGACAGGCCCCAGGGGCCCCCAGGAGATTCCCAGGAGGCTCCCAGGAGGCCCAGGAGGCCGCCGATCAGAACGTGTCAAGTTAATACACATCCGGTGTCGATTCGTTGATTTTTCTTGCTCTTGTGCCCCCCCCTCCATTTGGAGAGGCCCAAACGGCCACAGGTTAGATATCCCCCCTGGGAGCCCCAAGAGGCTTCAGGAAACCCCAGGTGGAGTTCCCAGGATGCACCAGGAGGCCCCCGCAACTCGGAGCTCTGAGACGCCGCGCTCGAGGTGGTCCTGCCCGTTTCGCCTGAGACTTCCTCGCAGCACGTTTCGCCTGAGACATCGTCGCAACTCTGGGGTCCGAGATGCCGCGCGCGAGGTGGTCCAGCCTGTTACGCTGGAGACATCCTCGCAACTCTGGGCTCCGAGATGCCTTTCGGGATGAAGAGGAGGTGGACGAGGAGGAGGAGGGAGGAGGAGGAGGAGATGGAAGGGAGAAGGAGGAGGCGGATGATGTGCATGAGGGAGCAGGCAGGAGGAGGGGGAGGCCCCAGAGAGCTTCAGGAGGCCGCAGGACGCCCAGGACAGGCCCCAAGGGGTCCGCAGGAGATTCCCAGGAGGCTCCCAGGATGCCCCAGGAGGCCGCCTATCAGAACGTGTCAAGTTAATTCACTTCCGGTGTCGATTTGTTGATTTTTCCTGCTCTTGTGGCCCCTCCTGTATTTTGAGGGGCCCAAGCGGCCACAGGTTAGATATCCCCCCTGGGAGCCCCAAGACGCTTCAGGAAACCCCAGGTGGAGTTCAGGAGGCCACAGGAGGCCCAGGATGAAGCCCCAGGAGGTCCCCAGGAGGCCCCAGGATGCACCAGGAGGCCCCCGCAACTCGGAGCTCTGAGACGCCGCGCTCGAGGTGGCCGGCCCGTTTCGCCTGAGACTTCCTCGCAGCACGTTTCGCCTGAGACATCGTCGCAACTCTGGGGTCTGAAATGCCGCGCGCGAGGTGGTCCAGCCCGTTACGCTGGAGACATCCTCGCAACTCTGGGCTCCGAGATGCCTTTCGGGATGAAGAGGAGGTGGACGAGGACGAGGAGGAGGAGGAGGAGGAGGAGGAGGTGTTAACATGCAAGCATGCGTGTGACAGGGGAGGTATAGTAACCCCGCTGCCTTTGGCTCAAGTGTTTAACGGTCGAAGTCACATCGACCAGTTGCGCAGTTCGGGAGTATAAAGGTGACCTATCGTTATCATTGTCGCCAAGCTCCCGTGCAGAACCCTCCTCGGGGTTTTGCATGGTAGCGGAGCGCGGTTGCCATGGCAGCGGCAGCGGCAGCTGCGGCAAGACCTGGACAGGGCGACCCGCCAGTTAATCTCAATGTGCCGGCAGACAGAGATGCTTGGGTCAACATGGATCCGAATCGATTCAACGACCTGTGCGAGCAAGCATACGTGAACGGAGACTTCAGTTACGTTCAAACTGCGCTACTCGCAAACCACTTTGGGCTCGCAACGTTCATCAACGAGCGAGTAGCACAGGACCGAAGGGAGGTATCGAACGCCGAAGCATTCCAAATGTTACAAAGTGCCCACAAGACCAACAGTATGCTGTTAGCGATCACGAAGAGAAATGCTGCGCTCGAAAGAGATGCTCGCAGATTAGTGGAAAGGGTCACCGAGTTGGAGACTAACAGTGAAGTACAAGAAAAGTTGATCGAAAGGTTCGGTCAGATCTCGGAAGCAATCAAAGGAGGAAGCGGAAACAAGCACGGGAGCAGTAAACCGATAAGCGAATATAAAGCGTTACAGGCGCTAAAGAACCTCAGTGGGGAAAGGGCGAAGTTCAGAGACTGGAGCGACAAATTCTTGAACGCACTAGCCCAAGTGAAGCCGAGTTACCGACCGGCACTGAAAATGTTAAACAAGAAGCTGGAGACGCTTGACGGAGTTGTGCCAGAAGAGGACGATGATGACGTCATACGCATAATGAACGGTCGATTAACTGCAAGCGAGTACCTGAAGGCAAGTCAAGCCAAGCAAGCCGAGGACGACAACAAAGGTGAAAATGAGTTTACCGAAGGAGACAAGACTCAGATGGAAGAAGACTTATGGTACATTCTGAACGAGAAACTTGAAGGTGCGGAGGCCAGAGGAAAATTAAAGGGACTGATGGATGGAGACGGAATCATGGCTTGGCAAAAGGTTTACAAATGGTACTCGGCAGTAACCGGAGCGACCTTATCATCAAAAATGACGCATGCCATGAATCCTGAGCCGCCCAAGAAGATCACTGACACCGTTGCCCGACTTGAGGAATGGAGTGCATTGGCAGAAAATCTTGAGAAATATGGCAAAGATTACTCGCTGCCTCTTCCTTTCAAAGTCACCGCACTCAGGGCCATAATGGTACACGCGAATGACTGGTTTGACGAATGGCAGCAGGCATGTTGGCGAACGCCTGACGCGCTTAACATTGATTCATTTCAGAAATTGCACTCAAAGTGTGAAGACTGGGCGCGTAAAAAGAAACTTGACTCAGACACAAGAAATAAGGATGCAATGGACATTGGAAATATCGACGAGATGAGTCAAGGGTCCGAAAACGTTTGGGACCAAACAGGATGGGTTGACGAAGATGGAAACTGGTGGTCAGAGGATGGATCGTGGAATCACGGGTCCTGGGCCAATGAAAGTGACGGGGGAGAATATGAAGAAATCGACGCCGTAAACAAAGGTAAAGGCAAAGGAATGGGCCCCAGGTGTTACAATTGTGGAGGCATGGGCCATTTAGCCAGGAACTGCACGAGGCCCAAGCAGTTCATCAAAGGAGGTAAAGGTGGCAAAGGCGGAAAAGGCAAAGGTTACCGAGCCACTTACGGATCCTATGTGAAAGGTAAGATCGGAGGTAAACAAGGAGGTAAAGGAAATAGCTCATGGGGAGGAAGCTACGGAAGCCAAGGGAAATTTACCCCACACAGTGAGCGTGAATGTTACAAGTGTGGTGGAAAAGGGCATATTGCCATTAACTGCCCGGGCTCCAAGAAGACCGCCAACGAAGTTGAGCAAGAGA